GAACGTTTAGGTTGTCCCCCCAAGTTCCTTAAAATGATCATCTCACTTCATGAGGATCAGCACGGCCAAGTCAGATATGGCAACACACTTTCTGAGCCCTTTCTAATAAAGAACGGTGTGAAACAAGGCTGCGTTCTCGCTCCTACCCTATTCACAGTCTTTTTCAGTATGATGCTTCAAAGGGCCTCGGCAGACCTCGATGATCAGGACGGTATCTACATTCGATATCGTACTGATGGAAGCCTATTCGACCTAAGGCGACTGAAGGCCCATACTAAGACCCTAAACCATCTTGTCCGGGAGCTGCTCTATGCTGATGACGCCGCCCTTGTTGCCCACACAGAAGCAGCTCTGCAGCGTTTAACATCCTGCTTTGCAGAGGCTGCTGAGCTCTTTGGGCTGGAAGTCAGCTTAAAGAAGACAGAAGTTCTCCATCAGCCTGCACCTCAGGAAGTCCCCCACCGTCCCCACATCACCATCGGCCAGTCAGAACTCAATTCAGTCCAACAGTTTAATTACCTAGGCAGCCTCATCTCCTCAGATGGTAAGATTGATGGGGAGATAGACAATAGGTTAGCGAAGGCATACAGTGCTTTTGGGAGACCCCTGGTGGCCTAGTGGTTAGCATGCAGGACTCTCACTGCTGCAACCCGGGTTCGATTCCTCGGTCTCCCGGGCAGATGGAACCCGTTAGCCCTGTGAGGCCATCCATCTATGAGAAGGTCACTCTAAACAAACCTACGTCCTGAGGACCTCACTGCCATTGTCCAAGCGTGCTTGGCCCCGGCAGATGAACCTTAGGATTAAAGGGTGGGCTCAGTTCAGCGCAGGCTGTGTCTCACCTAAAAAAATCCATTGCGCAGGCTGGAAAGGTAAAAGACCTTTCCCCAGATCTTCGTTCGCGAAGACTGGCCATTATTTGTGACTCGGAACAATAGCAGAGAGGTTACTGGAACAGCTTGTAGCCCCAAGGTAGCAGGTTCTAATCCTGGTGTGTGTGATCGTGGTTCATTTACATTTTGAGACCCCTGGTGGCCTAGTGGTTAGCGTGCAGGACTTTCACTGCTGCGACCACGGGTTCTAGTCCCCGGTCTCCTGGCCTGATGGAGGTCGTTAGCCCTGTGTGGCCATCCATCTATGAGAAGGACACTCTAAACAAACCTACGTCCTGAGGACCTCACTGCCATTGTCCAAGCTTGCTTGGCCCCGGCAGCTGAACCTTAGGATTAAAGGGTGGGCTCAGTTCAGCGCATGCTGTGTCTCACCTAAAAAATCCATTGCGCAGGCTGGAAAGGTAAAAAGACCTTTCCCCAAATCTTCGTTCGCGAAGATGGGCCATTATTATTTATTATTATTACAGTGCTTTTGGAAAACTCCATAAACGAGTTTGGCGTAATAAACACTTGAAGAAAAGCACCAAGATCAGTGTTTACAGAGCCATAGTGCTGTCTACTCTTTTATATGGTTCCGAATCATGGGTCATCTACCGCCACCACCTGCGTCTCCTAGAACGCTTCCATCAACGCTGCCTCCGTACAATCCTTAACATCCATTGGTCAGACTATGTGACCAATACATCTGTTCTCGAACAGGCAGCAATTACGAGTATTGAGGCCATGCTCCTGAGAACGCAACTGCGTTGGGCAGGGCACATCTCTAGGATGAAGGACCACCGCCTCCCTAAGATCCTGCTCTATGGTGAACTTGCCACTGGCTGCCGCAAGAGAGGAGCTCCAAAGAAAAGATACAAGGACTCCCTGAAGCAACAACTCAGCCTCGGGCATATTGATCACCATAACTGGTCCACTCTGGCCTCTAATCGGGAGGCCTGGAGACAGACCATTTATAACGCTGCTGATGCTTTTGAGAAGGCACGCAGGATCACTCTTGAGGAGAAAAGACAACGCAGAAAGAATCGAACCTTGCAGAATATACCATCTAAGGAGTCTTTCTGCTGTGTCTTTTGCAACCGGACTTGCCTTTCTCGTATTGGCCTTTTTAGCCACCAACGCGCTTGCATGAAAAATGGGTAGAGCCCTTCCCAAATCTTCGTTCGCGAAGCCTAGCCATGACTGACATAGAAGCTTCTTCATAACTTTGATCATCCTTGTTTCCTCCTCTATGCTTCCACTACCAGTAATTATGAACTTACCACTTGATGTTTTCAGTGTTGTTGAGCAATGGGCTAACCAAGGAAACCTCAAGGGAGGATTCAATACAAGCCCTGGCAAAATTCCGGAAACCCATTTGTTTTCTAAGAGCATTTTAAGGTATCCTAAGTAAAACTTAGTCTGTAAATGGTTGTGATGATATTATACTGGGGGAAAAAGTGAATAATTTATTATGAGAACCTACCATTTTGGACTCCTCAGGCCACTGGGAAAAGCCTGAAAGACTACTTGAAAAGATCCTTTAATTAATCTCTATCCAAAGACAAGGGGACCGACTCTCGGTTAGGAGACTTTAGTGTGATCAACCTTATATACAGCTATCTCATCCGGTCTTGCTATTGTTGGACTGTAAAAGAAAGGGTTCATGTAAACCAATTGGTTAGTCTGGAATTTCTCTAACTTGATTTAAATCACATTCTGAGAGTGCAGAGACCATGACTGAACCAGAATCACTGAGGATCAGAAAAGATGAGATCACATTGAATGATTATTAGAAACTTGAAGACTAATAGACCAAACAGAAATAACTTTTCATTCAATGAACAAAGAAGCAATAATAATAGTGTGTCCTTGCATTTACAGTCTGCATAATTATTCCAGAAAAAGCAAAGGATGCCACTGGGCTGCTTAAAATAAGACTGGCACTGACTGAATAGAGAAGAGGATTTAAATACTATCTGACATTATCAAATCAACCACTTTACAGCAATAGTGAATTGAAAGTACTTTAATTCATCTCTTAAATTTCCAAGAAAAGAAAGGTTATGTAAAACTTGAAATATGAATTTTATTTTTAAAAAATGGATTCTTCAAATATATTAACACATTATTAGACAAATGTTATCTTTTAGATGTTAGCAAGAAGTAAAGATATCAGGTATTATTCCAAGTGGTTTACCACAAGCTATAATCCCAGTATTTAAAAATGAAAGCAGGACATTGAATAGCATGGGTTTGTAAGCACTTTCAGGAGAAATACCGGGAGCAAAACAATTAATTGTGCTACAGAGGAGTCATTTTGCTGTTATTAGACATCTGTTACTACTCCCTGTCCTTGTCTGAGTTTCTGAGGTCTATCTGACTAGTTGAATTTCACTTGGCATGGCCAAAATAAAGGAAAGAGAACTGTCTCCTTGTGTTGCTATGTTGAGAGACTGATGCAGGACAACCAGGTGTTCCCCTTCTGTCTCATCCTGTACGACCAGGCATCTACTCATAAGCTCCCAAGATAATATTTTTGTTTGTCTTTTGGTTACAAGGTGTCTTACATGTTGGACTCTCAAGACAGCAAACAAGCTGCACAGAAACAAATCTGAGTTTCTTCTTATTTTTGCCATTAATGCAGCTGTACCTGGCAGAATGGAGTCTGTACCTGTCCACAACATAATCTCCTGGGGTAAAAATGGCCCAACAGCATTTGCTAGGGCTGTAAGGAAACTCCAGTCTTTCAGTTCACTTCTACTTCTTTTCAGTGTGCCACCAGCACCCAGCTTGGGGTTTTCCCGTGCCAAGTCTGTACCTGGCTGCTCTTGGTGGCCTGCCCCATACCAGGGTCATCGTTTCACCCTGCCTGCTTGCTCCTTTTAGCAACCTCTTTCGTGAAACACCACAGCAACCACTTCAGCAGGAACAGAAACAGTGTGCCACAAGTCATAGAAATAATGCAGGTGTTTCTCAGTTCCTTATTCACATATTTGGGGGAAAAACAATACAGCCTATTCATATAATGGAATTACTGTTATTCCTGAGGTTGGGGTCAATGATTTGCTGGTGCACCAGCATCAATGAAAGCAGAGGTACCCACCTGCCTCAGCAAAGAATTTTGCTCACAGTCTAAAGAGGCAAAACTGGATCCAGCAAATAACTGGTAAGAAATGAAGAAAAAAATCTTTCTATTAGCAGAACAACAAAGAAGTAAGCATAGAGGAGTTACATTATAATGCACCCTCTATGCAGCCTGATCCTCTATTATGCTGAGGGTTCTCAATAACCATAGACTTCAATATAGGACATTCACAGCTCACGAAATCAGGATTTGTGGTACTGTGGCTGGTATGCAAATAGGTAATATGAGACTACACTAGATATAGATTAAACTGTAAGGGGTTTAATCTTTGGTTTGGAAATGCAATGTGCAGGAGCAATTATTAATAGAGGTTTAATTCTTATCAGATACATACATCTATGCAAATACTTTTTTCTTCTCTTAATGTCTTGCCTTGAGCAAATATAAGATGAAAAGACTCCACTGATCATTTCATTTTCCCACAAGAAACCTGGAGGAACACGTCCGAAATGCAATCTTCTCATAATCAAGTTTCCCAAGTGTTTCAGTAGGATTATATGCAGGACAGTGGGTAATGCTTCTCTTGTAACAGAGTGGTGCCGCTTTTCTCCACGTCTTGTGAGGTTGTAATGTCCAGCCTTTTCAGCCCATGTTATTGCAACATTTCCAGACAAAAAGGAAACTTGATGAAGTACACATTGGAATTAAGCTAGATTTCAGAAAGGTTTTGTATGGTTCATGTGAAAAAGAACATAAAGTGTTCACATAATTAAAATATATTGCTCTTGTGAGCTTTACTGGGCCTGACATTTCAAGGTCTGTGATGAGGAAGAACTTCCTTGACAGTTTTCAGTTTATTGAGCATAATGTGCTTTATTTCCTGGTATAGCCATGTTGGTAGAGACTCACAATGGGCTGATAAGGACAAATTTTGAAATGATGGGGACAAGATTCATTCAGATTCCAGTGGGATCAGACTGAACGTGTTACAGGTAATTCAGTCCTGATCCAGCAGAATATCTAAGTATGTTCTTATCCTTAAGATTTAGGAGTATGGGCAGAGGTGACTTTTTCTGGTTGTGTGGGTGCCCTGGACTTGGAACCCTCTGAGAAAATTGTGAAGAAGGACTTGTCTCAAGGCCATACCATCTTTCTATTCTTTCTTAGTCACCTGGCCTACTGATGTAAGTAGCAGTACTATACCAAGACAAGACCACATCACCTAGTGGGTCTTTCATATTGCACTACAGTCACCCTCAGCTTTACATCTTTCTGCTGCACAAAAGCTGGCAACTTTGGCTGCTCATTTATCTCAGTGTAAATGTGAACTTTACAGTATTACAGCTGTGAATATAGAAATATACACATCACCCAGAGCCTGAAATTTTCAGGACCTTAAGCTGCCAGCTAGCAAGACTATTACTTAGATTTACTGTGAAATTACATGGCAATACCAGCCTATTGTACTGTGAAAGGAAAATACTGGAAAAACTGTTTCTTTGAGTAATCTTAGCTGTGTTCCTAGTTCACCATAAATACATCCAGTATTTGATTTTTACTGTAAGTTGAATCGGTGTTTACACTATAAAGCAATTCTTTGAGGAATGGTGTTTATATTACCTGTGTATCCATGCATACAAGGAGAATAATCTTGACTTAAAACTCCTCCAGCATTCTGACAGGCAAAAAGCACTTCTTCCCTTTCTGCAGGATCACAGGACAACCTAGGCTGGAAGAGACAGGTCTGGAAAATGCCCTGAAGGCCTAGACTGCACAACTTCTCTAGGAAACCTGTGTCTAGGTGAAATTGTCTTCGTGGGAAAGAAGCTTCTCCTTGTGTCCGTTCTGAACCTCTCCTAGGCCAAAGAAAAAGATATACAGACAAAGAGGGATGACCGGACTGCCTACGGATGCATCCCAGCCTGCCCTGTTGCCCCCATTCAGGGAGACTCCCTCACCCCAAAACAATTGAAACAATGCTGGTAGATGTACTCTGTAGATAATCTAATTTCTCCTCCACAACCCTTTTGATGTTCAACCTGAGCCAGTACTTTCTCTGCAAACTTGTCCATGGAGGCAAAATCCACTCTGAAATTTAATGGGTCTACCACTGCAATGATAATTTTGCAGCGTACAAAAGCCTCACTAAAAAGAGATACAATGGAAACCTGTTATATAGTGTAACTTGGAATAGTAATGAAAGTTAATAGCAAAAAGCAGAAAATAGTGGAGTAAAAAGGTTAGTTACAAGGTAATAGCCATTTTCTCTGTTGTTTTTTTGGAAGTCACTAACAAATACTCTCATTTAGTATTGAGAGAAAAATAGTAAAGCCTTAGACCAGGGTAGTAGGTGGAGCAACACATGTACTTCTCTGCTCATTACTCCCCATTCTTAGCCTTTTTTATAGCCAATGTATCTGAATCATCACCACTGTTTTTCCAGCATTATAGGCATGACCTAAGTCTGCCTACAGCCCCTAGCATCAGAACCTAGGATGGCATTTGACCTCATTTTGTACTCAAGCCACTACACTGTGCAATCACAGACTTTCATACTACCTCGCATCAGCTGGCATATCTGAAGATGCACAGCTGTGCAGAAATGGTCAGCTGTGGCAGTAGAAAAAAACTCACCCAACCACTCTTCATATAAAGAGAAAAACACATACCTACTGTCCTGGCAATACGGCTGTGCGCTGGAATAAGACACAAAAGGCAAATGCAAGCACAATGCAGTTTAATTTGCTGCCCCAAACATAGCACCTGTGTCCTCTAAAGTGACACAAAAAACCTGGAGATGTTCTCAGAGGAACCAGTTCCACCTACCTGGGGATGATTTTTCAATGATAAGAAGAGTTGGAGACATAGAAATGAAGAGAGAAAATATGAAATTATGCAGGAGGTCTCTGCTGTAAATCATCTAAAAAAAACCCCAAAAAGCCTTTAGGAATTGGCTTAGCTTTATCTCAAGCAAATGTGTAGGCTGTAAATACATTGAATGGAAAAATACACTGAATAAATCTACTGTTCCTCCCATGCTGGCTTGCTGAGAGTGAAAAATCGCTTGATATAACCCTTATTCTATTTAATACACCTTGAAAAGCCTAATAAAGTCTTTTAAGCAAGGGAGATGCTTTGAAACCTTTGCTGCAATTAGAGGGAAGGATGCCTCTATTATGCTAAGAGATGAGCTGAACAAGTCTAATTTCAGTTCATGATTAAGAAAAAGTCGTGGATGTGTTGCTGCATTCAGAGACTCAAAGTCTACTGTATATCACAATGGCATATTTATGAGCAACACAATGTGATGCTCTCATTCACTCACAAAGAGAATGACATATACAAACCAACAGCAATCCCAAATCTCAGAGGAATCACACGCTACTTCAGCTTCCAGTGTAGTGAAAATAAATTGTTTTAATCTGTAACAAGTTCTGCAAATTTAAATAAGTGAACAATAAATACATAATAATAATAACCTAGGACTTACTATTCTTTTTCTCTTCCAATATTCTCTGTTATAAGGGAATTTAATGAAACTTTTAAAACAAAACTATACTAAATTCTTACTACCATAAATTTCCTTGAAAACCTAAAAAATAAAGAGGAGTAAAGTCCATAGTTAGAATAAATAGGACAGATACTGTTTTCTAATCCAACCCTTTACACAATCCTATCCTTGTATTAGGTTTGCCAACAGGGTGGGTGGAAGTCCTTTCAACATTTGGGCAGCACCATGTTCATGTGTGCAGCATTGTGTTCCCATGTAATTCACTTAATCTGCACTAGAGGGTTTCCTTAAACATCCCTTTCCTTAAACATTCCCCCACCCCCAAGCTGTGCATCCTGGGCGCTCCCTCTCATGAGAAGCAGTAGAGAATTTAATTCAATGTTTCTTTGCTTCCTAATGCCTGATGAGGACAGGATTGATTATTCAAGCAGGATTTTTTCCCACTTTCCCCTAATACCAATAATTCAACAAGTTACACTCTGAGTGAAGGTCAGAATCATCACAGTTCCCATCCTACAGCTCATCCCAACAAAGACTTGACTGCCTGGCATGGTGGGGCTTACTGATGTTCAGCTCTCTAGCAGCTCTGTTATAGGTATGTTCCTGTCCTCTGACAAATACAGTCCATATGTTTGGTAGTTTTAATATGGTTTCAGCTCACATATCCCAGTTTAAATTACTTTATGTAATGTACATCCTCAAAGTAATAGTATTCACATAGTAAATGGCCCTTGTACACATCAAGAATTTTGTAACAGAATGCTTTATTTTTGCAGAGATTGCTTTGGAAGACAGCAGCTGATATGGGAAATGGAATGAAATATAACTCTCAAAACAGCTGTGAAATTCTGAAATATTTGACTTTCTCTTTGAAAGTAAATTTCTTTCTAAACTTGTCAAGGCCACTGCTTTTTAAAACTCATTTTGCACTTCTGTATCCTTGAAATACTTTAAAAATATTTACTTGGTTAGAAACTGACCACTCAACCTTGTCAAATGCTTTTCCTGCATGTAAAGACAAAGAAATGCATTGAGCTAGTAAATTATAATAATCCCATAATCCTAAGAGCATGTTTACAGAGTTTTCATATTGCTAATTGCCAAGGGAGTTGGCATTTAATTACTTTCTACGATCTTCACAAAACATTTCTCTTTTGTCTTAGCTTTTTAGAACATATATTTATTATTTTTCTCAAATTACCTGAAAGACCCCTAATAACAAAAAAATTTTATTTGTCCAGTGTGATGAAAGATTCCATTTATTTGTCATATCTGAAATTTAAATATGGTTTTAATTTATTTCTCACATTGAGATTCTGTGTGAATTTGCTCTTTAACAATCTTGTTATTTATTTTGCATTTATTTTGTTTTCTTTCAAAGTTATTCAAGATTAATAGATACATCTCTCACAGTATTGGCAACTTTCCAGATAATTTTATTAATTGTCTCTCTTACGCTCCATAATAGCAGAAAGTTCACTCTTTCTTTCCTCTCCTTGGACCTTTGCCCAAATTCATATTCAAGCCAAACTCACATTTAAGGCAAGAAAGAATTGGTGGAATGAGATTTTAAAGATTAGGTCAAAACTCTTTAAGGCATAAATAAGTTGCCTGCACCCATATTCTCTGTTTATATCTGCGTTTTATAATTAATGCTAGGAAATATCTTTTCACTTAAAATATGAAAAAGATGAAAACCTATTTAAATAGTTGAAATGGAAAATGAAGCCACAAAACTATGTGGAAAGGTGTTCCCTGCACCCCTTTGGAACATTGTATTCTGAAAAGCTGGACTTTAAAGGAAGAAAAGTAACTTTGCTCATGAAAAAGGATAGCATTTTATTTTCCAAATTAATTCTCATGGTTTTAATGGGAAAAAAAAAAAAACAAACAACATAGAAATCACCAAACAACCTTTCAGTGTAGAATCATACCAAGGAAACAAATCTGCTGCTTTGGAACTAATACCTTACAGCCTTGTGCTCTGTGTAAAGATTTTTGTGATATTACCAAGTCCTCAAAACATCTCAGGAAAACATGCTATGAAGTACACAACTAACAATTCTGTACAAATATACAAAGCATACCCAAAACTGCTCATGATACAAATAGTAGTTTCTTTAATATTTTCAGGTTAATAAAGAGGTAAAATAGATACTTTAAAAATCTTAGCTATCCTATTTTGTTTTGTATGAAGTTTATAGTTTTGAAATCAACCTGACTTAGAAACTGTCTTTAAAGACAAGAATTTTAGGCTAAAGAGTTTTACTTTGATTCCTAAACTATTTTTTTTCTTGGTTGGGTTTCTTTGTTATGTTTTTCTTTGTTTGTTTATTTGGGCATTTTGTCTATTGTTGTTGTTGTTGCTTTGTTTGGCCACAGAGCTGAAAATTCAGTTGTCTACACAGCTCATCTGGCCACATGTTGCCTAAAGCAGTAGAGAATGCTTGAAAGTAAACTCAGCAGCATGTCCAATTCAGAAAAGCTTTGGTTTGAACTGTAATGCATAGGACACATATTTGATTAAAAACCTGCACAGCAACAGTCAGTCCTATTTATTCCCCAGGGAATAAATATTATTCTCCCCAAAGCATGTTCAAAAATTGTTTAAGTTAAATTAAGAAGAAATATTAAATTTAACTCTCAATTTCAATAATCCTCAATACATTCAGGATTTTGGGGTGAATGTTAGCAATTGGCTAACAATCTAATAGTGGGGTGTACTTGTATAAATAACACTTAACCCAAAATTCTTATTAGACCTTCTTTTAAGTATTTTTTCCAAATGACATTGGACAAAATTGGTAATTAAAATAGTATCCCTTCTTGCTATGAGGGTATTTGAAAAAAAAAATTTGTGCAGCTGCCTCATCACTGAACACTGCAGTGAATAAGTCACAGACAAAACTGTATTAAAATTAATTTTTAACTTTTCTTCCCTTCTTTAGGAACAGTTTTCTTAGTATGTTGAATTTCAGCTGGCCAGTTCTTCACTACTCTGCACTTTCTATCATTTTTACCTTGAAGCAAAGCAGAATCACTGTGTATCATAATAGTACCTATAGCATAGATGTGACTCTGTGTTTCCAGACAGTGGGGATGTGGGTTGTCTTTATGAGCTAAGAATTCTCGAATGAGACATACCATTTTGATAAAGAGGGGATGAGTGCTTGAGGTCTACTTCTCTTGTGCATCTCTAGGGGGCCAGGATGCTGCTGGCACAGCTCCTGTGTTCACTGTATCTCTCTTCCCTGCCAAGGCTGGAAGAGAGAGAGGTGATACCATCATCTTCCAATATTTCCTTAGAAGTCTGATTTGTTGATCTGTAATGATTTTCTGCTTCACAGGAACACAGACCTGACAACAGTAGCAGCAGTTGTTGTACCAGATCACCAGAGATTTACAGAGTTCCTTATTTCCAAGGAGTGTTGCTGAAGTGTGGAGGTCATGGTCCTGACAGAGAGCCACCGTGCAGTGTTATACAACTTTCATTGCTGTAAAACTTCAAATCTAAACAAATAAATGTGTCCAATGCAATATAGTTCTCTTTTATGTCCTGGGCAAGTCTGCAGTTTCCATGGTTACCAAGGGGCAGCCTAGTAGAGAAACTGTCCATATTTTCTTTCAACAGATTTTTTTAGGACTCTCCTTTTGAAAAGTTAGAATCAATCCCTTGTAACATATATTCATGAATGTTCAATTTGATGTTTATTTAGAAATTTATGCAAAAAGTAATTAAACAATTTTAATCTATCTTCCTCCAGAAGATAAACATTGTAAGAAATGCCTTCCTCCTGGCCCCCCTTTCCCCTTTTAGCTTTTAATGCCAGGCAAACCTCATATGGTATATAATGTCCCTTTGGTTAGTTTGGGTCAGCTGCCCTGGCTAGGTCTTCTCCCAAGGTCTTGCCCACCCCTAGCCTACTAGTGAGGGGGGAATGTTGGAGAGATAGCACTTATGCTGTACCACTATTGCTCAGCAGTAGCCAAAACACGAGTGTTATCAACATCTTTCTAGCTACCAATGCAGAGCACAGCGCTATAAGGGCTGCTATGGGGAAAATTAACTCCATCTCAGTCAGACCCAATACACAAAGTCCAAAGTACTTGACTATAAAACATGACATTGACTTTACTGGTACATACATAGGTACTTTGAGTACTAAGATTGGACTTTAGGTTCACTATCTTCTGTCTGTTCATGTGGCATCAGAATCTTACCATACCAATACCAAAAATAGTGGTAACAATGATAATGCAAGATATTCATTTTACAGAGACTAGGTATTGACATTAAATGTGGACATCAATGATTATCAACAGCATTCCAGTTGCACCATTGCATCTGATCTCTCCAGATGGTTTGGAAATCTCAAACTGTGGATTTTAGTCCCATCTACAGTATAGTAGATCCCAGTTTTAACTCCTCAAAATATATTTCCCCATCCATATTTATTACTTTTCTTTTTTTCACACATGCCCTTTTGAAAAAACTTTTCCCTTTCTTAGAGAGCTCAGAGTGCTTCCCAGTGCTCAGAGAGTTGTTAAGGGTTTACCAGGACAGAAAACCTCAGATTCTGCCTCAAACCCGTCTAAGTTTTTGTAAATAAAAGCAGGAGTTGTGCCCTTCATCAGATGAGAGCTGGTCTCACTAGACTAAGCAGTTTGTAGCAAGGCATCTCTTGCCTCTTGGCAGACCTGTTAAAATTCACACAGTATTCAATGCCTTCCTTACACTCTTCCTGGTGGGAGAGGTGCTGAATCCTGCCCTCTACAACACCATGTGCCACATTCAACTTTCCAGCTTGTCTATCCATGTCAGGTATATGGAACTGGAAAAGAAATTAATATTGTGCAAGAACCAAAAGGTGCTTTTTCCATATATAGCTGTCTGTAGCACTTATAAAACCACACGCACAGACACACACTCATCTTACAATGACCGTGTATGGCTTTACTCTGCTGAGCCATGACCGAACACAACACCGCAGACCCTGCTTCAGTAACCACCTGTCCAGAAGGAGTGTAGGGAGGTCTTTCAGCAGCTCTTGTTGGAACAGTCTTTCCTCATAGTTGTTTCTGAACTTCTTTTCATTTTGTTTACTTTATTCATTTAAAGACAGTCTCTAAAATAAAGGCAATATTTCAGAAATCGCTCTGATAGAGCTGTGTAGCATGATACTATCACCACCTTACTGCAGGCTTAATGTAGTTGCACAGGCAGTTTTCATCTATTTTCTTGTTGTATTGTGCTACAAATTAACATATCATTTGATGCCCACTATTTCCTCTGCTTTTTGTGTTTCTCTCCTATTGATTATCACAAATGATTTTCAAGCAGATCTGTTAGCTTGCCTTTCTCTAATAGGAATTCGGAATTCTCATTTACTGAATATACTAATACTTCTGTATTCTCATGTCATTTTTGCTTTCTTTGCTAATATTAAGAAAAGCTCTGAGATTGGTACCATCTTCACGTTTAATTAATGTGATTTCTATTCCCTGGATAATCTTCCCTGGTATGTCTGCAGTTGATGTAAACTATGTTCACACTGACTAGACATTATAGTTAATGTACTAAGTGACCGTGTACTATTTCTAATGATTATTAAACTGTTTGCTGCCTATGCAGATGTGTAGGTATACAGAAGAATGTATTCAGTGTTCCTAAGTGTTTAATTTTGTCCAAAATAGATCTTCTTTGTTTCTGACAATTATTAGGTTTTGCTGTTTTACATCTAATAATGCAGTTAAAAATAAAAACAACCGATATGTTCACAGATTTAAATGTCAAGATTTCTGTTATCTCATTTTGAATACTCAGCTATGTGAAATTGCTCTGACTGTTTTTCAGCCACCTTGAAATATCATCATTGTATTCTTCCCGCCAGGAGAGCAGCTGAATAAACTGTTAGGTAAATTCTCCAACAAAAAGATACTTCCAGCATGTCTGGCAACGTAGCACACACTGCTTCATCTTTTCATCAGGATGTTCACTTTTTTTTTAATTTCTTATGAAAACAGAGAAAACACAGCATGTATTCAGCGCTGAGATCTCCAGAATATTAATTGCTTTCTAATCACTGAAAAAGGCTACTATACTTCTTTTTTTCCTAGAATTTTTCAATTTTCAAATCAAGACTAATTTCAAGTGACAATTAACTACTACTTATTAAAAGGACCCTGAATGGGTGTCTTTTGTTGGTGTCCAAGGCATCTCCAAAATTATATAAGGGTTCTGGAGCATTGTATTACCTCTCTGGACATGACCCCCACACAACATTTTGCAGTAGAAGACACTTGACTATATACTTTGTCTTTGAGTGGGGTCAGCTGCAAGGGAGATCCTTGTGATACAGGACCCTCTGGAAAGTGTCTGGATCCCTGTGGACAGCCTTCCCCCTTCAGTTCTCCTGTGAACTAGGAGCTCAGTCAGCTCATGGCTGCACTTGGGAAATGGCCGCACGGGTCCAAAACGTTTGCAAGGCCTGAAATTCAAGCAGTTATTTGAGGATATAAATGTTAGAATTTAAATGTGGTATAACTCCCAATCTCTGATCTACAGAACAAAAGGTAAATTGCTCCTTCATATTATACACACCAGTATCCATTTTTTCCTTCGAATGATTGGTATTAGATTTTTTGTGGGAGTATAATTAAAGGCCAAGCTATGGCCTCTCTGGTAAATAGCTTATAATCTCATTTATTTATACACTCATGTATTTAGATCTGTGCAAGGATTTCAGAGTAGAATGTTGCTCTGCTGATAGACACAGCACTAAAAAGAGACACTATTTGGGATCCTCTCTTCAGCAAAGGAAACCAACCCTTTTGAAGTTAACTATGCTCACAGCTTTTCATTAGCAATGTATTTCAATTAAAGAGCCAAGAGCAGAAAGTTTCTCAAAGATTTCTCATAATGCCTTATAAAATCTGGGATGGAACAAACTCTGGGAATCCCACTTGGATCAACAACCTGGAGGGAGGGGGCACAATTTCCAAGTATTTTAACTCCAGAATTTTTTGTGAGATTTACCCAATGTCCTGTTGAATTGCAAAATATATATATATATATATATATTTCCTTCTTCTGAGCTTAAAAGGAAAATCAGAGAACAGAGGGTGATCCTATCAATGTGTATTAATACCTGTTGGGAGAGAATTAAGAAAACGGAGCTGGAACTTACTCAGTAGTGCCCAGTGGCAGGAAAAGAGGACACAAATTACAACACATTAAATTCCATCCAAATACAGGAAAACTTTTTTGTTTACTATAAGGATGATTAAGCACTGGAACAGGTTGCCAGAGAGGTTGTGCCTTCTCCATCTGTAGAGATATTCAAAACTCAAGTGGACACAGTCCTGGGCAACCTAGTCTAGCTGACTCTGCTCCAGTCTAGGCAATCTCAAGAGGTCCCTTCCAACTGTACCACTTTATGATTTATTGAAACCAATATTTGTAATAAACATCTTTTTTCAAGCAGCTTCTATTCTGTTCTGAACACTATGCAGGGTTTGAAGTAAACCCCAAAACCCCACAAGGACACTGTGGGAGATTTGAGTCATTTAGGGAACTGCTTTATCAGTTTTTTAAATCTTTCTTTTTGGCAGCTTATGATAACATTTTTATATCTGAAGTGTTCTGTATTATAGCGAACATTTTAATTAGCCCAATACCAATTTCAGTATCTGCATCAGATTATCAAATATGTCTTTGCTTTAATGCTTCTTTGATTCATGGCTTTTAATGAGGAGTTTGTTTGATCTGCAAGCTCACATTTCATTATAGTTACAATGAAATTGTGAATTATAATTTTTAGGATGATTCCACTGCTTTACATGAAGCTGGATTCCACAACTCTTACTCATTTTATAACTAAGAGCTCCTTATTCAGTGAGAATTTCTTTGTAACTCCTAGTCATTAACATACAGTGTATTTACCTTTCCTCTGAACTAAGGAGGTGTTTTTTCTAAATCGCTACCTCTACAAAAATGAAAATTTCTTTAACCTTAAGCATTAAAATAAAGTTATTCATACAACTGTAATTTCCCAGTTGTCCTATTTACTTGTCCAGCTGATGCTGATGGATGTGCTGTCCCAGGACAGGCTGTTGCTTCTGTTGCTACAATCTCTCCCTCTCTTTTCTACTGGCACTTGTAAAGTGCTTCCATACTATTACATACTATACTGCTAATATAAATACTAATGTGACTCTAGTGTTCCAAAATTTTGACTTACAACTCCACATTGCATTATCTTTGCCTCTCCTTATGACTGACATTTTTTGATCCTAAGATAACAGATGTTCATAGAGAAATATATTTCTTTATTTGATTGCTTTATTAAGCATAATTTTTGCCAGTTTAGCTGATAGTGATAGGATAAGCATGTATAAGAACAGGCCTTAGCCTGGTTGAAGTGTTATTAATCAGGTCCACATAAAACAACTACTTTCTAAAGACCA